TGATTGAAATAAAGAAATAAATTTTATCCGGTGGTCGGACCCAAATTCGCAGCGCAAAGCAGAAAAACCTCACAACATTTCAGGCCTTTCTCCGCAGGAGCCACGAAGTAACAACGGCCTCGACGTTACTTCGATACATCGATCACTCTGGATCTTCCATGCAGCCTGGTAACCTAGGCAACCACAAACATGTTTTCCCCCCATCGAGAACCCCGGTACTCGATTTATCAAGCCTTTGTCTTAATTGCTCTCACCGTTTCCTCTCTGGTTTGGATAACGGTTTGAGGAAGGAGGCTAGATTACTCGGTAGATTCCAAACCGTCGGGCTATAGAGACAAGCCACTGAACAAAGCTTGTACGGAAACGAACGTGAAAAACCCTTTTATATATATATATATATATATATAGTCACATTTCTGGAATGACGCACCACGCGATCAATAGAACCCGGGGTGAGGCCACGGCGCACGCGCAGTGGGGACTCATCGAGCCGCGAGTCAAGTGAGGGGTGGGGGAGAAAACAGGACGTTATCCTGACACAGCGCACGCGCAGTCTTAAGAGACGAAAGCGCGGAGGAAGCGGCCCCCCCCGCAGCGGGCCCTCGGCGTCCCCCCCACTGTGCGCGCGCGCATGCGCCCCGGCGGCCCTTGACCCGGGCGCCTTCCTACTGCCCGCTTCTATGGAAGAAGCGCGTCGCCCGTTTGCTCTGCGGCCGCCGTCGGGGAAGGAGGCGAGAGGCGGAGCGCCGGGAAAATGCCGGGAAAGCTGAAGGTCAAGATCGTGGCGGGGCGGCACCTGCCTGTCATGGACCGAGCCAGTGACTTGACGGACGCCTTCGTGGAGGTCTGGCGGGGAGGGGCTTTTCTGCGCGGCGACGCTCCGCAGCAGCAGCAGCAGCAACGGGGGAAAAACGGGGCGGGGGGAGCACGTCGTCACTCTCTCCCCTCCCGTATTTGCATATATTTGCATAACGCCCGCGAAACTTGTCCTATAGATTCTAATGGTGCTGCCTTCTCCCCTCCACCGCCTATTCAAGGCAGGGTGGACGTGCTTCGCCTCCAGCAGTTTCCCTTCCTTTTTAGATGCCTCCAGGGAGGTCGATGGGACGCGGTGGCTCAGTGGCTAAGACGCTGAGCTTGTCGATCAGAAAGGTCGACAGTTCAGAGGTTCGAATCCCTAGTGCTGCGTAACGGAGTGAGCTCCCATTGCACATATGTGCGAGGGGAACCTTTTACTTTTAGGGACGTAACCCCAATCAGGGGTCTTTCCAGATGGGGACCCAAACTTGAAATTGAGATCCTCAAATTGGTAAATCGTGCTGGGTTTCTCTTCCAGCACGATCTGGGCCTTATAGCAATAGCAATAGCAGTTAGACTTATATACCGCTTCATAGGGCTTTCAGCCCTCTCTAAGNTTTCCTCTTCAGGATCTGGCCTTCTAAAGAGGAGTCAGGGTTGATCTCCTCTAGGACTGACCGGTTTGACCACCTTGCAGTCCAAGGGACTCGCAGGAGTCTTCTCCAGCACCAGAATTCAAAGGCCTCAATTCTTTGGCACTCAGCCTTTCTTATGGTCCAACTTTCACAGCCATACATTGCAACTGGGAAAAACCATCATCGCTAGAAGTCATCTAATTGGGTAATGAAATATCTTCAAGAAAACTATCACGCTCAGAGAGCACTAAGGACCTCGCAGTTAAATTCTGAACTACATGTCTATGGAGATTCTCAATCATCCAGGTTATGGTTGTCCTAAAGGCATCTGGACTTTCTCGGTCTTTTCCTTAAAAATGTTTCGCTCCTCATCCAAAAGGCTTCTTCAGTTCTTGGATGAGAATCGAAACATTTTCAAGGAGGAGAAAAACAAGAAAGCCCAGCTGCCTTTTGGAAAAGCACTTTTGGGACAATCCTGAGCTACAAATATTTTCTTGAATGGAATAGAATGCAATGGCCAATAGTAATACCGCTTAGTCTTATATATCGCTTCACAGTGCTATCTGGTCCCCTCTAAGCGGTTTATAGAGTTAACATATTGCTCCCAACAATCTGGGTCCTCATTTTACCGACCTCCAAAGGATGGAAGGCTTGAGCCAGTCAGGATCAAACCCCAGGCTGTGGGCAGAGTTACCCTACATTCTAACCACTGCACCACCACAGCAGAAGGGGACGGGACGGAACAGAACAGTGTATATGAACAGAGAGCAAACCCCTCTCCCTTCTTGCACTGATGATATTCACTAATTTGGTAATGAAATGTCTGGAAGGAAACAACCAAGCTCAGAGAGCACTAAGTACCCCACAGTTCAATCCTAAACTACAAATATTCTATTATTTTTTTCCTTGTAGGTCTGTATTGAGGCTGTTAACAAGTTCTAATCAATGCATCAGAGCTCTAAATTAAGAGTTTCACTCAATATCATCTTGGCTTTCCACCTTAGCTGCTTGAGGCTCTTAAGTCAATTTTGTCTCCTTCAAGAAATCAGGGATGCCCCCCAGCCCCCACCCCAACTCTCCTGTATTTCTGTGTTCTGTCTTTCGCTTTCACACAGGGTCATGGCTTATTTCAGCATGGCCATATCCCACTTATTCATCCAAATCATCCGTCCAAACAATGAATCTTTGTTGTTGTTGTTTTTGCAAAGAAGGTATGCAGAGATTTAGGAAACAAAGCAGCTTTCTTTTAAAATGCAGAAAAGGCTTACACAAAGGACTCAGGCGTCACTATTTCTGACTGAGGTTCGTAGAATGATTCTAACTAGGTGTACCCTAACCAGGGGTGTGATTCAGGAGGTTCACACCGGTTCGGGTAAACCGGATGTTAATTTTGCGTCCAGTTCAGTGAACCGGTTGTTGCAAGGACCAGCTGGCCCCTCCCACCTCACCCCCTCCACTCCCAGGAGTCTCCACGCGGCTGGTTCATCATGCCAGGGAAGCGCAGGGCCCGCGCAGAGGCTCTGGGAGGGTGAAAAATAGCCCTCCCAGAAGTCCAGAAAAGGGCTTGTTTCCAGCCTCCGGAGGGCCCCCAGAGCCGAAGGGAAGCAATTTTTGCCCGCCTGGAGACTCAGGGAAAGCCTCTGGAGCCTGGGGAGGGTAACCCCCCCCCCACTACCACAGTGCAGGAGGCTGAGAAGGCCACACCCACCATGGCCAAGCCCACTATGGCCACGCCCACCCAGCAACTGGGCAGAGAACTGGTTGCTAACATTTTTTTCAATTTCACCCCTGACCAACTGCCGAACTGCCGACCTTTTTGATCGTCAAGCTCAGCGTCTTAGCCACTGAGCCACCGCGTCCCTACCAGGGTATCACAGAGCCCATCAAATGGTTGTTTTCGATTGTTGTTGCCAGGGAGGTGAGGAGTGTTTGTTTTGCATTGGGGTTTTATTTCTGTAAGCTGCCCAGAGTGGTCTTGAGTGAGTTAAGATAGATTTCCTTCGTAAATAAATAAAAGTTCTTCAAAACCTTGCTGAATCAGTACGGCTGGAAAGAAATGTCTCTTGCAGTCTGCGGTTGATCTATTCGGATATGGGTTTGGAGTGGTGACATTCCAATTTTTTTTTTTACTACCCGTTCTGTGGGTGTAGCTTGGTGGGTGTGGCAGGGGAAGGATACTGCAAAATCCCCATTCCCTCCCCACTCCTGGAGGAAGGATATTGCAAAATCTCCATTGCCACCCAACTTTGGGGCTAGCCAGGAGTGGTATTTGCCAGTTCTACGAAGTACTCAAAATTTCCGCTACCGGTTTTCCAGAGCCTGTCAAAATCTGCTGAATTTCACTCCTGGTTTGGATGAGGCAGGAAATAAAGTGAAAAATAGACCCCTTTGGAGGTGAAGTAGCTGGGCCTCCTCTTCATCGCAGCATCTCTTTCTTTTTAAAACCTGACCTTTAATGTCTTGCTTTTCTGACATCTATATGAACCCACAACAAATCACATTCTCCAGGTCCCAGAGCCGGTTATTTATCAGTGCTGTTCCAACTTGTTTCTGCTTGATTCTCTGCGATTAGCCATGACCTTGGTAGTTAGGGGTTCAAGCTGTATTTGTTGTGGGGGGGGGGTTGAAGAGGGAAGAAGGGAGTCTAGGAAAAGAACAGAAGTCTGAGTTCTTCAAACATCACATTGAAAATAGGCAAAGACTCAAAACTTAAGCACCGGTTCAATACATTTTAATCTTGGCCTTTCTAGCAAATATCTAGGCCTGCCAAATTTAAGTGTTCCTGCATTCTTAAAAATATTTTTGTCCATATAGCAATAGCAATAGCAATAGCAGTAGACTTATATACCGCTTCATAGGCCTTTCAGGCCTCTCTAAGCGGTTTACAGAGAGTCAGCATATTGCCCCCAACAATCTGGGTCCTCATATAGTGCTGGTGGTATTATTATTATATACTTTATTCATTAAACATGAAACTCAGCCAACTGAACATTCAGATATGCATTACAAATATCATTGACTGGTGCTAATGGTTGATACGGTTTGCTGCCAACGTCCTAGGTATCCACCAAGGACCTTCTTAAAATATAAGATGTTCCGAGTAGCGCAGTTTTTTGCAGTTCCGCTGGTGTTATTTCAGGAAGCTGCAATTTGTTGATGTAAAATTCTTGGACATGGTGCCAAGTGCCCCAATGA